ATATAACTAACTATATCTTTACGTATCCACTAGCTGTTCGCGTGCGGCTTCATCCGCATTAAATTATTTTATTGTTTACATTTGTCAAATTATCAATAGCAGATGTCAAAATGACAACACTTGGCAATTTTACTTTCTTGATGTTGGCAGTAACTTATGGTCTCTTTCCCACATTAGGGTTTTTATACAAAATATTTACCCCTAAGTTTAATAGCGTGAAAATATATAGCCTAAAGCACGACGTAAGTGTAGTGCTTTTTATAAAGGAAAGAATTATACAAAAATATGCTGTAATTGCTGACATCTTAGGCAACAAAGAAGTGTGTGTTTACACTTTATTATAATAGTATAGAAGTATAGATTAGTTAAAATCGTATTTTCATGCTAATTGTATTTTAATAATTCGTGGAAACCATAGACAGTTTAATTTTCTAAAAGTTGTTCTAAATTTACCCTAGGACACTTAGACAAACAAGTACAGTACAGTCAGCTACATAAAAATGTAAACATTTATAAAACTAGATACTTGTACTGACCTTCGGTTTCAAACACATTTGCACATCAATAGCATGAATTTAATGATAAATTTGTGCCATGTTTTTGAACAGAAGACATAAGAAATTTCTGAACCTTTCTAAATATATAAATATTTATGCAGCTGACTGTACACTAGAAAAATAAATTTACACAAATCTAAACACTGTAGTACAGTCACCATCATCTGCATCCATCCACTGCTAGAGTTCATCTAAAAACTTTCCAAAGACAAGTGACAAAAACATAGGGATTAAACTCGTTACCTGTTCCGCAAACTGTACAATGACCTCCTTGCTCCTCTTATCAAACTCCAGCTGTGTGTTGGGCTGCTGCAGCTTCAGGATGTCTCGCACGTCCTTGCGCTGCGCACTCTGCCAGTCGTACAGCCGGTCTATCTTGTTCAGAGCCACTATAAACGGAGTCTTTTTCTGCTTTAGTAGATTTATTGATTCTATTGTCTGCGGTTCTAGACCGTGCATTATATCTACTACCTGAAAAAAGTTTTTACAAAATTAATAATATGAAAATTTGTATTTTTAAATGTATTGAATTACTGAGCCGATTACAAAAATTATTTCACCATTAAAATTAAAATTATTTCGTACTATTTTATTACTCCATTTGGACGAAGTAGCGAGCAAAAGCTAGTATTTAATGCACACAAATTGTTATTTGTGTAATATGCTTGTATGTTTTGAACAGAAACTTACCAAAATCGCGATATCACATAACGAGGATCCTCGATTCCTGAGATTACTGAATGACTCGTGTCCAGGAGTGTCAATGATTAGTAGACCTGGCAATTTGAACGCTATTTCATTCACCTGAAATAAACAGTATTTGTTATTAATAATCTATACTAATATTATTAAGAGGAAAACTTTGCTTGTTTGATTGCAAATAGCTCAAAAACAACTGGGCCAGTTTTTAAAAATTCATTCGCCGTCAGAATGATTAGGAAGTTTCTTTCTTTTTTATTATTTTTAAATTTCCCGAACGGAGTCACGGGCAAAAGCTAGTGTTTAATATATTCACAAACACAATTTTAAATACAACATTGGAATAGAGATTAAGCAATTTTTTAACTATTCAGGTCAAACAACAATGAAAATCTTATTCAGTAAGATTTTGTCACAATTCAGCGTATTCGTGTTTTAATTCGGATACTAAAAAAGTTTTAATATACTAACAAAAACTAGTAGAGGAAATCAATATCATTGAATGTAAAGGCAATATTTACTCTTATTACTTAGTTACACCATACACTTTTTATGAAACTAATTCCTACTTACCCCTTTAACATGCTTTGTTTGTTCTTTAATATTCTCAATGGGTACATTGGTGGCACCAATCTGTTGGGTGATACCACCCGCTTCTCCATCCTGTACGTTAGTACGACGCAGCTTATCCAGAATCTTAGTCTTCCCGGTGTCTACATGACCTAGTACACACACCACAGCCGCACGGAGAGGATTGTTGGCTTTGTTTTGTTCATTGTCTTCGCGACGTTTCTACCAATAAAGTAAAAATTTGTCATTTCAATCAAGTGTATGTCACTGATGTAAATACATAAAGATCACATTTATCTTTTTTATAGCAAGTGGAAGGTGCAACCGAAATATTAAAAACTTTTTAGACCTCAGTTCAACTGACCACAGTTTAGTAATATGTAAAACTAACCTCTAATCTCTTAAGAACAACCTCCCTCTTCTTTTGGGCATCAGTCATCTGATCATCTTCACTGTCTTCTTCGGAACTTGAATCCTCTTCTGAGCTGCCATCCTCTTCATCTGAACTTTCTTCTTCTTGCTTCTATTAAAAGTAGTACAAGAATAAATCAAACTACTATGAGCAGCGGTAAGTTCACTATTTTCACGAATTCAGGTGACCACTCACTCATTTGCCACCTTGTCTAAACTAATATAATAAAGAGGAAAAATTAAAATTTTGGTATGTATTGAATTAACCCAAAAACTACTGGGCCAATTTCAAAAATCTGTAAACATTAAAAAGCTATGTTATCAGTGTGTGACGTAAGCAAGATTTTTTTTACATTTTTTTTAATTCCACGCGAGGAAAGTCGCAAACAACAACTAGTCATGTATGGAGAAAATTAACTTAAACACATAACATTTTGTTCACAATATGTTACCGATTTCTGTTTATCCTGTGATGACTTAACAGGCTCCTTAGCAGGACTTGCAGCCTGCGCCGGCGCAGGTTCAGGCTTAGCGGGCTCTTCGATTTCTTCCTCAGACGACTCCGCATCCCAAGAGTCTTTGATCAAATCATTATCTTCCTTCTTTACCTCAGATTTTTGAGGCTCTTCCTGTGAAAAGCAATAGTAAATGGTTGAAAAAAAAAAACAAAGGTATTGTGTATAGACAGTAAATTGGAACAATCAAAAACTATAGTAATAAATTAATGTAAGACATTACCTTTTTCTGTACGACATCCAAGTCAAACTTCTTTTCCTCTGCAGGAGTTGTGGGTGTTTCTTGTGACATTTGAGATTTTAATTTCTGTGGCTTAATTCTAGTTCCTAACCGTGGAGGTTTCTTTTCTGTTGATCCTATTTCAATTCCTTGTGCTTTCAATGATTCCAACATAGCTTGAGCCCTAGCCTTTTCCGCTTTTTGTTTTGGGGTTAATAGCTTTCCTTCAGCTTTAAGTCTTTCTTTTCTCTCCTTTTCTTTTTGCTTTTTCCTCTCTTTGCGTTCTTTTTCTAGTCTTATAGCTTCGAGTCTTTGGCGCTCACGTTCTTCTTCTTGTTTTAACCTTTCTTCCTCTTCTTTTTTGAGCCTTTCCTCTTCCTCCTTAACTTTCTTAAGCGCTTCTTGCATTGCTGCAATAGTCTTTTTAGTAGGACCTTTTTTACCTTTATCGTCTTTTTCAGCCTTATCACCTTTTTTCTTCTTCTTTCCTTCAGTTACAGGAGCATCTCCCTCAGCATCTTTATCTTTTTCTTCTGCAGTTTCCTTTGTTTCTTCTTTAACAACCTGATTTTCTGTTGGCTGAATATCAGCCTTAGTCTCAGGTGCCTTGGCAGGTGTTTTACTATCATTTACATCTTTTTTAGGTTCTTGCTCTTTCTTTTTAGCTTCTTGTTTTTTCAACTTCTCACGTTCCTTCTTTTCTTTTTTCTTCTGAGCAGCAGTTTTAATCGTTACATCATTTTCATTATCACTATCTTTTTCATCTGCAGGTGTTTCTTCTGTTTTACTTGTTACTTCCTCTTTTTTACCCTTTTTCTTGTTTTTAGATTTATCTTCAACCTCTTCTTGAGGTTTTTCCTCTACTGGAGCAGGTGTTGGTTCAGTCTTAACTCCGGCATATTCCATTTCAAGTTCAGCTAAAACTTTTTCTATATCCTCATCACTATCACCTTTCTTTCTCTTTGCTTTTTTTCCTTTTTTACCCGCAGGCTCTTTTTTCTCCTGAGCTGGTTTCTTTTGTTGTTTCTGTACTGGTTTTTCATCATCTGAAGATGGAGGTGCTTCAGGAGCTGATTCTCCTGAATCTTCAATGGCTAACAAAGAAAATGCACTTTTCTCCTCTTTTTTCTTATTTTTCTTGGGTTTTTGCTCCACCTCCACATCTGATTCATCTAGATAAGTTGGTTTAAAATTGGTTATAATATGATGAATTTGTAAGTAACAAAAAATAAAAATTTATGTTATAACAAAACTTACCATCACTACTGACATCTTGTTTCTTTTTTTGATTCTTATTGGAAATTGATACATTCTTAATGTTCTTTGTGACTTCCTTGACATCAGTATCAACTTTTTTAGACTTGGATTTAGTTTTTGGTTTGTCACTGTCACTCTCATCTGAATCAACACTGATTCTAAAATTAATCAAAGTTCAATTAACTATGTGAAATTGTATTATAGTTTCAGTTAAAATAATTTCCGCAAATTTAATTAAACATATCATGAGTTCAAAATATATATCAAGTAGAGTGTATGATTTTATAAGAGAATAATATAAGTTTTAATGTAAAAACAAACTAATACAAATAGTCCGTATGTTACATCTAAATTTGGGATAAATAACATTAAAAATAACCTATAACACTTACTTTTTACCCTTATTAGGCGCCGGTTGAACAGTATCGATGTTGGTTGACTCCACATCGCTGCTACTGAAAATAATTATTTTTAAAAACCACTGCAATATAAGATCGCCCTAAAATTATATATTTACCCATCATCTGCAGCCAGGTTCTTCTTTCCTTTTTTTGCTTTCCCCATGTTGTCTTGGTATTGAATATATTAAGTCACAATATATGTAATGTAATGTTTAATTTTCGTGTGTTTTATAATTTCTATCATGTGAGAAGCAGACTTCGGACGTATGTTAATTTTTAAAGGAATAAAAGTAGTTCTAGTTTTAGAGAAGATTGCCTCGTCGTCGTGTCTGTCCCCCTCCTTCAATTCTTTTTAATTTTACGTCAAGCACGTTTGGAATTCCAAATCAAAGAGTATAAAATATTGGACGTTAACACAAAAACTTATAAAATGGCAAACTTCAACAAGAGAACGAAGACCATGTGTAGGACCAATACCATTTTTATAATTCACATCCAAATCTGTATCTGTTCAATAAGTTCTTGAATACCATATTGTTTTAATCCAAAAGTGTACAACCTAAAAATACCCCACCTAAGCGGACAGACGTTTCTGATTTGGCAAATAACCTCTTAGACACTTTAAATGTCCGGCCCGGAGTACTAAAGTGCAAATAGTGGACTTTACATGTTTTCAAATGATTAATTTTGTATATATGATGCTCGAGGGACTATGGGAGTACCGCCTTCAAGCAACCAGACACTTTAGCCCGGTCAAACAATTTCTCATAATAAAGCTTGTAAAAGTAAGTGTCGTCCTCCAGCACTAGGGGCTTAGTCTATATGGGAAAATATAAGTGATAGACTGTAGAAAAAGTACAATGTGGCAACTTTAATTATTATTGTTATATACTCTTTGACAATTGGCAAATGGTATTTTTTCTGCACCTACATGTTACAATTTGTTTTATTAAAATATTGTGCTGAACGTGAAATAATTAGCGAATGTTTCGATTGATCCCATTGCATTTACATTCCTTGTCAGCAGGCAATTTATAGCATTGGATAATATTAATTTCTATGAACTCAAAAAGCGAAACTGACGAAGCTTCAAGGTAATTTTATTTGTCATTATTTTGCGATGTTAATTTTTAATTTCAATATGTTATAAATTCCCGTTTTACTTTTAGACTATGTTATGCGTATTTATATTTGTTGCATCATGTACGCACTGTCACAAACAGATTCTAAAAGTTAACCATTACTTGCTATTTTCGCTCTTTGTTTTGTTGAGTAGTTTTCAAACTATGTACTTTGTTTTAGGGGGAGCGAAGCATCATCGTCAAATAATAACTCAACCCCAAACAACATTGTCGAGGAACAATCTCAGTCAGTTTTATGCGTGAATCCAGCATCTGGTGGTAGTCAAGACATCATGAAGCGTGCAGCTAAGGAGTTGATTGAGAGATATTTCTATCAGCTACTGGAGGGCTGCGGGAATCCAAACTGTGATAATGAATATTGTGCATCAAGTCAAAAGGTATCCAATCTTGGATATTTATAAATATATTAAATCAGGACATTAAATTTAATATATGACAGTCACAGATTTTTGATAAATTGACAGAAACATTGGATTTAAATTTTATAATATGAATAACAATGTTACATAATAAAAAAAATGTTATGTAACTTGAAAACTTGCTTCTTACAATTTAATAAAGCCAAAACTTCTGAAAGCATCTGGATGACATTTTGCAGACAAAAGCTAGTTTGACATATATGTTAGACAATATTTACACTTTCTGTGTTAGTATCTTAGATTGATAGGATAGTAATAAATATTTAATTTAACCCCTAGGCTAAAAAGCTAACAGCCAATGAAGCTGCTGCAGTAGCTATAAAATTAGCAGAGAAAAAGGAAGCTCTCCTTTGTGACAGACATCCAAATAAAGTTCCTCGAACTGAAACAAACAACTGTGATTCAAATTCCAGGTAATATCTTGTTCTATATTCTGTACTATACTAAAATGTCAAATTATTATTTATACTAAACTAAAATTCAAGTAAAAACCAAATTTATGTGTACACTTCCATGTTTATAAGTAAAATTGGTAGGTACAAAGTCAATGCATAAATATTGAACTATTAAATTCATCTATACCAGCTCAAGTTATCATTAAGTATTACAGCAATAACTTTAAGTAGTATTGTCATTATTAGCTGGATTCATTGTTCCATTATAGTTATGTAAGATTTTTTTTCAGCACATGTGACACATCAAATAAAAAAGTTAAAAACACCAGCAGTAACCAAAAAACAGACTTATCAGACAGCAAAGTGCAAGAAGACAGTCAAGGTAAAGAAACAGCAAATGAATCTAGTCCAATAATTATACAACAAACTGAATATAAATACATTACAAGTACTAGTAAGTGTCTTGACTTGCTCAATTATTAACACACTCAATGCCATTAATCACATAAAAGTGAACTCAGAGTCAGTTTGTGGCATTGGATGTGTTGAAAATGTAGAATATTTGGTTGTAACAAGAATAGTGTATGCAGTAACTAGCTATGCTATAGATCTGATAAATTTTATATATACATAAGTTTTCTATGTTATTTAGGTTATTAAATTTATTAGAATAAAAGCTTTCAACCTTCCCTAAATGTTTAGCTTGTTTATTTCCAATGACTTGCCCCAAACTATAGGATAAAATGCAAAAAAATAATTCAGGCGACTGGTGTGTCTCATTTGAGTTAGCTATAATTCAATGTCTTAACTAGAATTAAAAATCTGATTAATGTCAAATACATAATAAAGAAACTGCATTGAATAGGACTATGTTAGCCTAAATCATCAACTGTTAATCTAATTATTTCAAATACAGCTAACAATATAAAATATATTTTTATTTTATAATATAAGGTGGCAAGCGAGCAAGCAGCCACCTGAAGCCACTGAAATGGAAAGCGACCGCTGCCCATAAACGTCCACAAATGCAGGTGCTTTGCCTACCCTTAATTGACGGAGGAGGAGACGCACATAAAGAGGATATTTTCCCTTTAAATGCGTCTCCTCCACCGTCAAATCTACTTTTCCTTTCAATTCTTTCCTCTTAAGAAAAGGGTGGAAAGAAAAAGGGATTAAAATTAGGCCTCTGGCACCACACTCATCAGACGAAACACGGAATTGAATTAAATT